ATGTAGATCAAAGACACCATCCGGATTTCGTTTCGTAGTCTTAAAAGGCTACCTATTCAAATTTATCTTGATTCTTATCAAACACATGAGTAATTCTGAGAATTCCGAGTAATTTGCATTAGAAACTTAAATAGAATGTATCGTCTTTCATCATGCAGAAGATAAGTTTATGTTATCTCTAATATGATGGAACTTACAGAAAATAATGTCAAGATATGAAGAAAATTTCTCTACAACTTCTAGATCAATTTATTGAATTCTTGAAGAGTTTTACGAAATTTTTATAACAGATAGCTGAAATATAGCACTACATAATGGAAGACCTGTTGACTTATAGCATCTATCGCTTCCAGAATTATGAAACTCAAAGAAAAACTAAACATCATTCATCATAACCCAATATTGACTCAAACAAGTGGGATGCGAATAGTTCTGTTGACCTATATTCATGGCCGAATACGAGTCCAAAAATTTTCACACCGCTATCACTTATGGCAACTGATACCTAATGGATAAAGTTTTTTGTCTAGAAGTGTAAATTAGATTATCTCTTGCAAAACAAGTATCAATCTTCTTGCCTTAGAAATACTTTTCTTGACTAATATCTATTTTGAAATATATATCGAATGACTAAATAAATACCTAAACTGATATTATCGAATTGTCACTGTCATCACTACACAGAAAAGGTACAACCAATAAGATTGAAATTTTTACCACAGATAAAGCATTCGGAATAACGAGACATATATAAAGGTTTGGAGCCAAAATCTGAGTGTTGACTTTCAGAGCTCTATAAATTCAGATAGGAAAGTCAAAAATGAAAACGGTCAATTTCACCTCTGAAGGATACTTCCAAGTATCTGTAGTAGAAATTTCAGTCCGATCGAACAAAGTTAGAGAGACGTCGTAAGCAGCCAGGATTGAGAAAACTGGTATTTTATATCATGCTAAAAGAAAAGAATTTCAATATGATTATCATGAAAAAAAGATTTCTTAAATTCAGTAACTCTATAACAGTAAGCTGCTTTAGAGTCGGATGATGTCTCTGATTTCACTTGACGCTCAGCTCGAAATCGAATTTTTGGTTAAAAAAAAGGGACACAGTCTCTTAATTTATTTGAATATCAAATCATATCTTAAGTTTTTCTTTTGTATTATATTTGAAATTGTAGATCCTATTTCTTCGTCTAATAATAATAATAATCGTGAAGTTACGATCAATCAATCGAGATTAACTGTAAGTAAAAATTGATCTATTAAACGTATACAGTTTTATTCAGCTTAATAATGAATTCTATGAATTATGGCAATGTAATCAAATAAGTGAATTTATTCAAAAAACAAAATATAAATTAGTTAATAATCTTCAAGAATTATTTCGAGATATATTTCCATGTAAGTTAAGATAATATTAACATTTTTTTTTTGTTGTTTTAATTATTTTAATTTATAAATAGATGTTGGTTTGTATATTATTGGATCAACAATTAATGGATTTGGTCAATGTAATAGTGAACTTGATATTTGTTTAATGATATCACATGATAAAGTAATTGAAATTAAGATATCGAAAAATTGTTTATCATCTTTTGTTAGTTAAGTGAATACGAAACAAGTTATATCTTACAAAAAATTCGTAATATATTTCAACATGGAGGTAGATTTCTACTTTATCTATATTTCTATTGATTTATTTTCGATTAAGAATATTTTCGCGATGTAAAACTAATCAGAAGAATATTTCCAATACTTAGATTTTTTGATTTATTAACGTATGTTTAATAACAAGAATATCTATTACTATTTTTTTTTCGATTATCTATTATTATTATATAGATCTATTACATGTAATATCTATTTAAATGAAGCCGTTACTATACGAAATACATTTCTAATGAGATTTTATTCAGAATGTGATCATCGATTACCAATTCTTATTAATACTATTAAGTTAATTTGAATAGGATTTTTTTTTTCGAATAAAATCTCATGTTATTTAGATATTGGGCATCAAAAGTTAATCTTAAACAACGAATACATAATAGTTTTAATGGATATTGCCTTACATTAATGTGTATCTACTATTTACAAATAGCAATTTTACCTTCACCGATTGCACCTCGTTTTAATGAATTATTATCAAATAATAAATTTAATAAGAATATTGATATTCGTAAATTAAATTTATTTGATACAATTGATCTAGCAAAAATATGGATTTCAACAGATGTTACGATTGAAGTCGAAGATTTATTTATTGGTTTTTTTAAATTTTATGCAATTGATTTTGAGTATATATATATATGAAAATAATTTTATGGAAAATATTTTTTTTTGTTTTGTTGAATTTTTAGTTTTCCAAATGATATTATAAGTATACGAACTGGAAGAAAAATGAATAAACGAGAATCACTAAATGAAATTGATCGAATCAATCGATATGTTGTTATTGAAGGTAAGAAAATTATCAATTCGATTTTATGTTAATATCATTATTCTATTCTTATATCTAAAATTAAATTTAGTCAATTTCATACAGGTCGCCTTGGTGAGACTTACAAAAGTCTAAAAGAATTCTTCTCCATAGGCCTCCGGCCGGAGTCGAATCATGATCGTTTTAGTTATATACCAAAAAGTAGAACGTAAAATTTTATTCATAGAGAAGTTATAATGATTCATAGAATATTCTGAAAGTTTTTGTTCATGATTTTTCATTGATGGGCAATAATTTTAATACGAAGATTGTTTTACGAGTCATTCGATCTATATATTCGCGTTTTTGGTTTTTCGGTGTGTAGCAAAAATTCAGTAAAATAATCATATCTCGGTCCCAAAGACATGCGAGGACAAGTTCTTTTGGGCTTTTTCTAGTATTAGCGACTATGTGCTCAAAGGTCGGGTGGTTTCCTTATGAATATACTACATCCTGATTGACTATTTTCGAGCTCTAAATATATAGCATAAATTCTTAGTGTTTTACTTCTATAAAACGAATTGTCAAATTTAAAGTGACCATGCTACATCCAACAAAAACTTCCTTAATAATCATCGTAACCGGACGATCACGATAGGATTTTTTTCTGTAATACTACATATTAAACTTTTCTTTTGTAGACTCACTTTGTAACAGTAGAAATACTGAACGAAATCGAAAAATATCATGAAGTTATTACATATACTAAGAATTCGAAAACATGTATAGTATGCTAATCATACTATTAGAAAAGAACGAAAAATTAAAGATGAAATATTACTGCTCCATTAGTTAGACTAACATACGTGGATCCTATAAATTGATCATATCGATTTAATTTTGATTCTCTTCAGTAATGATAACTGACATAAAGAATTTAAATAATGGTTTGGATAGAAAAATTTATTTCCAACAAAGATTTGGAGAAAATAAAATTCTCATATGATTCCCATAATCCAAAAGCTGGTTTTCCAGCATCTCAAAATAAAAGTTTCTTTTGATTACCCATAAATCTCTAGAAAATGAGAAGTTTTAAAGCATTTCACGACAGTTTGTAACTGAACTACATCAATTTTAAGGAACTTACAACTATTCCTTTTTCCAATAGGGAATGGCGAAAAAACTTAGAGATTTATGTGTAATCAAAAGATACTTTTATTTTAGGATGCTGAAAAACTAGATCACTATTTAAATTCTTTATGCCAGTTACCATTACTGAAACAAATCGAAATTAAATCTCTATGATCAATTTTTGAAGTCACTGTACGTCTCAATGAGTTTTAATCTTTTTCGAAATCGTTCTAATTCGTATTAGATTTAACGAATAATTTTGTATTTTTTTTGTTTCTATAATAAATATTTATAATTCATCAAGCCCAAAATGTGTAGTTGCAACGTGTAAATTGTTGTTAAAAGACAAAAACGAAACAAAACAAAAATAACCATATAAATTTGATTTAGAACCATTAATTGGAACAAATGTTGCATCAAGTATTTCAACTGATAAAATCTATCAAGAATTAATAGAAATATTTCGTACTACTTACAATAAAATATCATCAACACATCGTCTTACTTCTCTATAAATCAAATAATAATTCTTTTTCTTTCGTGTACTTGTTTGTTTCTTTATACGATAAATAAAACGAAAGATACAAAAAACAAAAAAGAAAAGAAGCAAAGAAAAAATTTACATAATTATTAACCCGAACATCCACGACATCCACAATGAACACATTCAACAACTTTGCCTTCTTCTAATTTTTCTTTTGGTACACGACAAATACATTTTTTATTAAAATTTGTATCACGTGGTTGAATACATCGAAGACAACAAAGATTTTCGTAACCTTGTTTTTTCCATTGTGCTAAAACGAAAAACAAAAAAAAAAAACAATTTTTCTCTTACAAAATTAAATTCTCATCTTACCAATTAAATTTTTATCACCAATCGATTGTTTTAAACAATAATCATATAATTCTTTATTTATTGTCTTACGTTTATAATAAAGATCATAGATATAACGTGATTTTTGATGATGAATTTTAAATATAGGCCATAATGTTTCAACTTTACGTTTACCGTCATGTGGTGCTAATTCAGCTTCACGCATTTTAGCTTCTAATTCATCTAATGTTGGTTCAATTAAATCCCTAAAAATTATATTTTTAAATACAAAAAAAAAAAAACATCACATTATAATTAACACTTACCATCCATCGGGTGGTGGTTTTGAAGTTTTTCGTACTTTAACCATTTTAAAATAATCTACAAGATAATTGTATTATTAGAACTTTAGTTTTATTTATTAATTTCTTGTTTTTCTGTTCTTTTCATTACTCTTGTGAAACAAAAAACGAAAAAAAGCAAAAACAAAAAAACAAAAAAAAAAAAAGACTATTACATTCCTTTCTTTTCAAGCAAAGCATACAATTGAGAGACATAAAGAACAAGAAAAAAAAACACACACACAGAAAAAGTATGATAGTCAATAATATTGTTTAAAGATTTGATTTTTTCTTTTTAATTTCTTTGTCGACGTTTAGCTCTGAGCATTTGACGTGAACCCTTTGATGCATCATCATTCGTAATACTGAAAGGACTAAAATAGAAAAATAAACAATAACAACAATTAAAATATAATATGAAGAAGTCACGAAGAAAGTTCCTCAATTGATGAATCACTTTGAGGTAGTGTCCTGCAACCAGGTCGGATGTGAAAAGTTATACCCGTGCAGGACACTACTTCGGAGTTTGTACTATGTGCATCAGATAGACCCTAATGAGTTGTGAATACCTTGAAAACAGTTCAGGTTCTTAGCTTATTGTTGCACTTTTACAGTAATTTTTAAGTCGATACCGTAGCTCAAACTGGTAATTGTCGTTTAAACTCATATTGGGCATACAACAAAGTCTTAATGGGACTAACAAAACGACCATAACTCGACTTCAAAGGTCCATGAAGGATTTTTTTTATAGTTGTATCTCAGGATAGGAACAACGAAAAAGAGTTTTCCTAGTGTTTCTGAGGAGGATCCCCGACATTGACTTAAAAAATAGCGTAAAAATGGAATAACTTAATAACAATAAACTAAAGATCCGAGCTCTTCTCAGCGCATTTGAGTCTACATGATACTCATAGTCTCGGCTTAAAAACGATTAATGAGTTGAAGGATTTTCCTCATTAGATTATTAGGTTTTTTTTTACTTTGAAGGGTCAATTGTAGAACCAGATGAAGTTGATGTCGAAAATGGATTATTAGTGACTGGCATAGATGTTGTCCCAGTTGCTTGAAATGGAGTAGAAGCAGTCGATGTTGTACCAAAATTAAATGAACTCGATGATCCAACGGACGATAATGCAGATGGAGCAATACCGAATGCTGGTACTGTTGATGCTTGAGGTGCAAATGAAAAACCGCCAGTAGGAACGGCTGATGTTGTTGAAGTTTGAATAGGATTTGTTGTTGTATTTGATGTAGATCCAAAACCAAATGTAAATGGTGCACTATTTGACGAACTTGGAATTTTATCAACTGATGTTGAAGTTATTCCAAATGGAGTTGTACCAAATAATGGTAATCTCGAAGGACTAGCAACAGCAGAAGTAAATCCAAATGGAGGATTACTTTGTGTTGTTGCCAAAGTAGATGGAAAACTAAAACTACTAGTACCGAATTGAAATGGAACTGATGTTGTACTTGTTGTTGGCAATGCCAAAAACGAATTTGTCGTTGAAGAAGCTGATGTTATTGTTGAGGGATCAAAGAAAATTGGATTTATTACTGAAGATGATGTAGTCGGTTCTTGTGTAAGTGAAACTGACTGATCGGATGATATAGGAGCAGCTGTTGTTGTTGTTGTTATCATTGAAGTACTACCAAATGGTGCAAAAGGTAGTTGTTTGGAAGATGACATTATCGCAACTGAAGGAGTAGTAGAACTTGTAACTGCTGTAGTAAGACTTGTTGATGATACCGAAGAAAAAGGCTGAAGTGTTGTACCAATTTGAAAAGGATTATTTGTACTAGTAGTTGAAAAACTTTCTTTAGTTGTTGCTGTGCCAAATACGGGTAGTGTGCTATTAGGTGCAGGATTTTCTTTAGTTACTACCACTGGTGATACAACTGGTGTTATGCCAAATTGAGGACGAAAAGCATTAGTTGACATAGGATTTTCTTGAGTTGTTGTTGTTATACCAAATTGTGGAGCAGCAATGATCACTGAACTTTCTTTAGTTGTTGTTGCACCAAATTGCGAAGCAGCAGTGATCACTGGAGTTTCTTTAGTTGTCGTTATACCAAATTGCAGAGCAGTAGTAACCACTGGACTTTCTTCAGTTGCTGTTGTACCGAATTGCGGAGCAGCAGTGATCGCTGACCTTTCTTTAGTTGCTGTTGTACCGAATTGCGGAGCAGCAGTGATCACTGGAGTTTCTTTAGTTGCTGTTATGCCAAATTGCGGCGCAGCAGTAATCACTGAACTTTCTTTAGTTACTGTTGTGCCGAATTGCGAAGCAGCAGTGATCACTGGATTTTCTTTAGTTGTTGTTATACCAAATTGCGGAGCAGCAGTAATCACTGGACTTTCTTTAGTTGTTGTTGTACCGAATTGCGAAGCAGCAGTGATCACTGGATTTTCTTTAGTTGATGTTATACCAAATTGCGGAGCAGCAGTGACCATTGGACTTTCTTTAGTTGTTGCTGTACCGAATTGCGGAATAGCAGTGATTACTGAACTTTCTTTAGTTGTTGTTGCACCGAATTGCGGAGCAGTAATGATTGCTGAACTGAACTGCGGAGTAGCAGTGACTACTGAACTTCCTTTAGTTATTGTTGCACCGAATTGCAAAGCAGTAGTAGCGATCCCTGGACTTTCTTTAGTTGTTTGATTAATAATAGTGGTAGTAGGTGTAGGTATAGTTGATTCTTTTTCGATTGTTATTGTTGATTGAATCGCTAAATTAAGAGAAAGATAAACAGAAATAATCATTTCATATTCTAATTAAATTTACTGACCACTTAATTTTTTATAATTCGGATTAATACCATGACAAAGTGAACATGATGCTGTTTGTGCTGGATGTTCTTTAGTACATGAAGGACATTTCCAAATTGATTGAATAGGATGTAATGATGACAAAGGAAGTGTTGGTATTTTTGATATTATATTAGTATTTGTATTAATATTTGATTTTTCGATAGGAGTAGAACTAATTGATTCAGTACATTTTTCTGGATATTTTTTAGCATATTCTTCTTGTGCTCGAGCAAATTTTGGCCATGAAAATGGTGTAACGTTACCAAGTACCTTTTAAATGAAATTTTTAATTCTTCTTAATAGTCTTTTGATTCTTACTTTAGGTTTGGTAATATCAATTGTTGGTAATGGTGATTGTATTTTTTCAATTGTTATCGAACTATTTGTTTGAATTGATGAATCTGTTTGAGTAGATGATTGAATTTTTTCAGTAGTTGGTACTGATAATGCTTCATATTGAATATCAGCTGGTGGAAATGCACGTTGAAGTTTTTTATTTGATTCTTTAGAATTTTCAATAATTAAAATCTATGTAAAAAAAAAAATAATCATTTTTTTTTAAAGTTTTAAAAGATTATTAACTTACATTACATTGAATACCACATTCTTTTTCTTGTACTTTTGTTCGATTTAATTCCGAAGTATTTGTTTTTAATTTATGTTCATCAGTTGTTGACATAGATAATCTTAAAGAAAAGAAATGAATAATTATAAATTGAAGATAAGATAAGATTTTACAGTTCATTATCACGTGTACGATTAAATCGTATACAATCTTGTAAAGTTCGTCGACGAAGTCTTTCAATATAGGGTAAACGATGTGAATTAATTGATGCATAATTAACACCAAACATTTGTCGTTCACTTGATAACTAAAATTTTACATAAAAAAATATCAAAAATATTTGAGATTAAATTTTTTATTTTTATTTTTCTTACTAATCGATTTTTATTTGTTAATGTTGCTGATGATTGTTGACTATTTGGTGTAGTTAATTGTGGTCGATCAGTTAGACTGGTTGCAAGTAAATAATTTGCTGAAAATTCATCGGATTTAAGATTTGTTGTTTCAGTTGGTTTCTATAAAATAAAATATATTGGTGAAACTTGGTATAGATGTTTGGCGCACGAAATAGAGCTGGTTGTGAGATTAATAAAAAACAAATTTCATGCCGTCATACCTTACCGCTCAGGAGCCAAGCTCAAAAAAACAGTACGGGAAGTATTTTAATTTCTTATAAGAAACTTTCTGTCTGTATGGGCAGATAGGTATTCACTTGTATTATTACATCATTCTTGAACTAATATTATAATAATAAAATTTTGACAAGAACTATTTGTATTACGATAACATCAGATCATATTTCTTTCTTGTCTCTTTTAATTAGAGTATACAAAAAGTAGTGTTAACAATATCATCAAATAATCGTCGTGATTATCGATACAAAATTTTATTCATTGAATCTATTTATCGAAATTTTTTTCTTTATTCTTCTTTATTTAAACTGTTTATATAGTTAAATAGTATCAGATCCGGAGAATTAGGTGAATATAACATTATTATTATGTCTTCCGATTCAAAATAATTGAACATATTATGTCACATTAGAAACGAGTAAGTATTATAGAGAGAATAGAGAATATATTTCGAAGACAAACATGATCTGATGTTATCGTAACACAAATAGTTCTTATCGAAATTTTATTATTATGATATTAGTTGAAGAATGATATAATAGTATACGCAAATAGAGTGTCGTTTTTACTATCAGTTCATATAGAACGAAAATTTCTTATAAGGAATTAAAATATCTCCGTCATTACTTTTGTTACGACCTAAGTGTTTTGAACTTCAAGTTTATCTAACATTGATGATTCAATTAGAAAATTTCATTTCCTCATCTGAAGAACTATGCATATATCTATCAATACGAACAATAATAACTCTCTAGAATGAAGTATAAATATATAACAATAGATTATACTACCAACCATTACCTTTCTATTTGTTATACTATTCAACAAGAATAATAAATTAATTTTTTCAACTCTCAAACATCTTCAAGAATCAAAACTATTTTAATGAAATTCGAATTTTTTGAGGTGGGAGGCTTGCTTTAAGGAAAAAAAAATTTTTTACTTACTCGATTATCAGTAGAAAAAAGTGGTGATTTTGATGGATCATAAGTTGATGTAATATTAAAACGTTTTGTAGATGATATTACTCGATCAATTCTTTCATTAGATGTTGTACGATCAATTCGACGATTTGATAATGAACTAATACTGTGTGTTGAAGCTATTCGAAATAATAATAATAATGATTGATAAAAAGAATTAAACTTATACTTGGATATAAAGATTTTTTTTCACTTTCATGATAACCATTTGTAGTATGAATCTGTTGAAAATTAGTTGTACGACGTCGTTTTTTTTGTTGTTCAATTTCTTTTAAAGTTTGTTCAGTTGATGATACATTTTGATTCTTATCTTCATCATCAGTCAATTGTGATTCATCGTCTCTGATAGGCTGATGAAGATCTAAATGAATTTAAAAAGTTTTCAATTATTTTATTAATAAAAATAATCTTCAAATATTTGAATTTTCTTACATTTTGATTTTGATATTATTATTTGACTATTTGTTGTAGTACTTGCAATTGTTTCATTTTGTTGTTCATCATTATTTTCTTCAATAGAAATTGTTCGTTTTCGTTTCTAAAATCAAATTGATAGTGAATATAAAAAAAAACCTATTGTGAACATTTTTGTTTTGACCTACAGGGCTATCTGTGAATAAGAATGATGGTTGAAAAAATTTCGAAACAACATCTTTGACTATATCCATTTTACTCTAGAAATAAATAATAATTAGATAAAAATCTAAAATTTAAATATCAAAATGATTATAACAATTATCAAGGAATGACATTATTTTACAAGCAAACAAACATGCAAAAGATAAACAATAGAACTAATAAATTAATAATAATACTTACGTATAAAAAAGAAATCAAAATTACAATAATAAATCAATTTAATAGTTAAAGAATGAAATTACAAAATCAAACATTAGAATATTCATAACTATGTCGTAACAAAAATAAATGAATCACTCTCAACCACTAATGATGTTGTGTTATTGTTGTCTTGGGAAATAAAATCCAAACCTAACGAGGAAGTAATACCATCATGAAATACATTATGGATACCAATAAAATCGATTGAAGAGTTATAATTGAACTAATATTCAAATTATTATATAAATAAATTAGTACTATGATAATAACACAATAAGAGAACATTTTTGACGTTCTAGTTATAGATGTCGCTCGTATCTTAAGAGAAGAATTGATCGGTGTTACTCTAGAAGAGTGCGAGTTGCCATCTTACAAAATCATAAGAATTGTCCGTTATACAGCAATATTTGGTTGTGGTTCAGACTGTAACTGTTGTATACATAGTAGGCTCAGAATAGAAAGTCCGAAAAATGTTACATGTTTAATTAACATTGATATTCAGGTCAAGAAATACGGGCCGATTCCAGCAGGAAACCGATGAAAGTTGAAAGCAGTATTCCAGCGTTTTCCTGCATCTTTTCGCTCGATTCCAGTGAGCTTCGATTGTTTACGGAGCTCGTAATCTTTGACTTGGGTGCCAAAGATATTGATAAATAGAATAACTAATCTAAATCAATGTAGCAACTAGTCATAGCAATGTGAAAAAAATGAACTTCATTCTCTATCAATCATAAGACAATGATCAATATGAAAACGAAACACGAAATAATAGGCATCACATGAATCATCTTGAAAGAAATATTCTTATGCCAGGCTTATATAGAACACTATTTTTCGACAATTAATCGATGCTTTTCATTTCTATTTTCAGTTTGAATACTGAAGTAAAAGAGAATTTAATGATGAAAACTCAAGCTAATCAAAGCATAAGCAATGTTTGTTTGATAATAATGTTTATGATTGATGTTAAATGCATGAAGTTAATGAGAAACATTGCTTTGTGATATGAACAATAGTAAATCAATCAGTCGATTTAATCTTACAAAAAAAAGGAGGAACAACATAAGTAGTTTTGAGTATTTTATTCTTATGGATATTATGGTTACTTCAAACAAGATTCAAGATAAAATAACTTAAATGTTTGTATATGGAAAGTTTATTGACCTTGTAGACGTATGAAATGTTTGGATAATCATTTTTTAACGGTCACTCGTATTTTTGTAATTGACATTAAATGTTAATCATATCTAAAAACATGAAATTTTCATTGTGATATTCTAGCAGCAACTGAATAACATTGATTCTATAGAATTCAACTACATATAGATATCACTCGTAAGCAATAGATGAATTCTTAATTTAACCAAGAATATTAAAGATAGGTGGTTTTTATAAGAAAAAGTCATATCAAATAGATGAATGTGCTGACTAGTTGGTAACATTCTTTAGTTTGTTTGAATATGTGTTCCTTTGTAGGTTGCTTTCTTTTTTGTTGGATATGTATCTGCCGTATATAAATATTTGTGTAGTGTGGTTTTATGTACTTAGGTCCAATGAAACGGCGTCGTAAACGGGCTGAAACAGCTATAAAACGACGATTAACGATGTAAAACGTCGATAAACGGTGCCGTAATCCATAATACCAGATTATGGAAGCAAAATCGGGAAAAAACGACGGCCATTTTCTAGCGATAGACACAGCTCGTAATACGGTATGACGGATTACGGCGAAATAAGGCCAAAATTAATGCAGTAATTCGCCGTTTTATAGCTGTTTCAGGCCGGATAAGACGCCATTTCCGACGGCCGGAATGATCTTCCTGCGAAAAGGTTATGTGTTAATTCTTATGAGCATTTGATTTATTCGTCAGTATTAATTAAAGTTTGTAACCAATATTTTGTTGCTTATATAAACTAATTGTTGCATCTGTTTTACCGTTTAAAAATGTCTTTCACAAGATGCGATAAACAGCATATCATGAATGAAATTTCACAATTGCTCGATAATAAAGAGCAGCAGCTAGCTGAAGCAAATAAAACAATATCAAAGAAAGCAGAAAAACTTATTCAAATTGAAGAAAACAATAAATCACTTGAAAATGAAAAGAAGATGCTTGAAAATGGAAAAAGTATACTTGAAAATAAAAAAAAAGGCACTTGAAAATCAAATCCTAGCCGACTCTCCCCAGCAAAATCATCGGAGAGTCCCCTGAAAAATGAAAAATCCATTTCGTGACTCCCCGGGAGAGTTGTATATTCCAGGATCCCGCTAAAACTTCCCGGGAGTCCACAAATTTTAGTGAGTCCCTCTAAAATTTTCATAAATTTGAATTTTTCAGAGAATTCCAATGGTGACTTCTGGAGAGGCCCTAATAATACTCATCAATTCCCTGAGGAATTCCTAGGAAGTTCCTGTGAAGTCCCTGAACCCCTCTTAACTCCCACAGGAACTCACGATAGGGATTTCCCCGAGATTCTTCTAGGGAGTCTCAACTAGGGAAATAACTTACTTGCCAACGAAAAGAAAACATTTGAAAATCAAAACAATTTATTTGCAAATGAAAAGAAAACACTTGGAAATCAAGATAACTTGTTTGCAAATGAAAAGAAATTACTTGAAAATCAAATTTGAATGATGCAAGAAAAATATGAACAAGAATTAAATATAAACAAGTTTACTTTGAAGAAAATCTTTGCAGATAATCATATTTGAAAATTCGTTCCCTTAATGTTTGCTGCACCGATGTATATCTACCTGATTTATCGAAAATAATGATTTGACCAATTATTCTTGTACATTACATAGGATGGTTAAAAAGTTCTCGGAATTCGCTGTATTTTATTCAAGAAAATGACATTTCGCCCATTTTGCTACACCATATATTATAGGTAGGGTGTGAGTGTGGATGTGACGAGAAGATCTACACCGACACACACACACCCAATCTACGATAGAAGTATCCTAGGATAAAAAATGAGGATAACTATTGCAGTATCCATGCATTATATATTTCGCCATTATTGAACAATAATGTTTTTAGCCATGATATTTGGTGAGTCGATAGTACCGTAGGTATTCTATAGACTGACATACTCAGAAGCACTTTACGGCATTTTAAGTCCTATACAAGTATTTCACAACTTCTAGATATACTCTTTGCATTGTAAGCACGATTTCTGTTGCTTATGAACTACCTATGAGCTTCCACTTTAGAACTAAGCACAACTGACTTCTAGCTACGGAGAGCAAAAATTTTCAAAACTTTGAGATTTTTCTTTTGACCCAAACAAAACCATTTTCTGGTGTATATATAAGCTAATTTGGATAAAATTACGATCCACTCGCAGAAAAGCTACTCAATAGGCGATCACTGATTTGACTAATTTATGTATATATCTATAAAACAAAGTGTTGATGAATTTCTAATAAATTTGTTCAAAATAATATTGTTCCATTCTCGAGATATTCAAATTTTTTTGAGAGTGCTATCATCACATAAAACACATTTTTATTGCAGTTTTTGTGATAGTCATATCTCATCAAGGATATATTCGTTGATCTTGAAATTTTGACTATGAATGCATCTCATGTTTAAGTATGTCTCAAAAAAATATCAGTTGAAATAAATGAATTGTTGGAAAGTTGACCAATACTGTGCAGTATATATAGAAAAAGTGTGATTGTTTGGTATTTTGTGCACATACATATCTCAAGAGCAGATAAAGTTAAAGGTGTAACAATTGTGAAAAGATTTGTCAACGACGGTGGCTTATGTGAGTTTCAATATCGATCCGTAGCAAATGAACACAATACTGAAAGATACTTACTTTCAAGATAAAATGGCTAGTGCGTTCGCTTTAGCGACATGCACATAAAGCGAACGTTTTTCAATGTCAATTTTCTACCACTCATTACTCAACTATTTTGACAGCTACGAATTCTTTCTTCATATAAAAAGATGCGACATTTTTATGCTCTTTTCCATAATATAAAAATAAAAGTTTTAGGATGTAAAATGACGGAGATATGAGAGAAACAATGCACACACAAATTCTACTAATTTATTCGTTCATTGAATTATGATGAGTTTGATCAATGAGAGAACGATCATATCGAATATGTATCAGAATTTAATAACATTGCATCAGAGTTGTAAAGCAATACATTAGAATTCTATTAAAAAGAAATGTGTACATCGTTCGTTTCCTCTCAATGCATTTTGATCCTAATGTTCGAATTATTTTTCTATGAACAATTTTTTGAATGTTTCATTTATTAAAAACAAAAAAAAAAGAATTAAATTAATATAGATATATTTTCTAAAAATTATAAATTATATGATAATCTATCATTTGAAAAAAACTGCATATTATCAGAATCTAAGTATCGGTTATTGGATAAGTAATACCAAGTCGAGCACATAACATTTGTATTGTTTTTTCATATTCTCGATTAAGACCTGTTGCTTGTTGTAAAGCAAATTTAAGATCATTAACTTCTTCAAAAAATTCATCATCAAGTAGACTCAGTTTTTGACGCATACTTTCATATCGTCTTTCTAATATTGTCATACGTTTTTGAGCAGAAACAGCTCGTCTTTCAGCTTGTTTTTTCTCTTTTTGACATCGACTTAAACGACGTTCATAATCTTCAATAAGTGCAGATGGAGGTGACAATTCGAATTGTTGTTGTTGTCGATTATAAATAGCTTCACATTCATATTTTCTTAATAATTCATTTTGAGCATTGATAAGACGATTTAAATGAGCTTCTTCATCAAAAGACGGTCGTATAGGCTCTAATGGACATGGACGACGTGGAACAGAA